CATGGGCCGGGAGAGGGTGACTCATCCACAGAAGCCAAACACGTATGCTCCGAGCATGATTCTTCCTATGGCATTGTCTGCCTCTGAGGTTCAGAGTCAAAGAAGCACGGTGGCCGTGATTTGGAAAGAAGAAGCTGGATGTGGAACAGGTTATGGAGCCAGGCAGGGAATGAGGAGGAATACTCTCAGTGCTATTTTTCTAGAAAGGAGGGGCTGTAACTCACCATGAATGTCTCCCTTGCTCTCACATAGTGACAATGGTGCCGCCCCGACAGGTGTCAGAACTGAGTTCCAGTGAGTTCCAGCGGAAAAAAGCCCTGAATACTCTGATTGTGAACATGTCACAAAGCAAGCCAGGACTGCAGCTGGAGAATTTGACACCCCTGTGGTGCTTTGGAGGTGCGAGCTGATGTGGCTATGGCATCAGATGAGGGAGGGGCGAAAATGAAGCTACTGATCTGGGGTCTGGATCTGATATGGGGCTTCAGGGAATGTTACCTAAGGATCCAGTCCCTGGGGGCATCTTCAAATGAGATCCAATTGTGTCTGAGCTCCCACCAACCCAAACTTGCAAGTGTGCCATATTTCTTTTCTGCCACACTGCCCAGTGGCAAGAGTGTTCCATTCTTCATTTCTTAACTTTGCGGCATGAGTTCGTGTGCTGAGTGTTAGCTTGCCTCTGAGGCAAGCTCTGCCAATCTGCCTTTCAATGATAAAGCTCTCTTGTTTCCAGGGCAAGGAAGAGCTGAGATTTCGATTTCTTGCAGATGGTCTGTGGGGATTCTGCAGGCCCACTCTGCACATGCACCATAAACCCTCTGGCCAGCCTTCGGTCAGAGCAGACCATGCTATGTTAGATGGAAAAAACCGGTGCCTTATTATTATTTTTACTGCTACTATTATTGCTTTTATTATTGCAAATGATTTATTAATCGCCTTCTAAACCACCACTTGAAGGCAATTTGCACATCAGAGAATTGAAAACAGTAAAAAACAAAAACAAATCAATTTAAAACCACACTGAAGCCACGACCCATTTATCCACCTGGGAAACCCTGTGGGAACAAAAAATGTCTTCAACTCTTTCCAGAAAATGCAGATATAATTATTATTTAGAGTGTTTGTACCTTGCTCCTCAGCCAAAAAGGCTCCCAGAGTGTCTTACACACAATCAGTTAAAACAAGATGGTCTTACAGTAAATAAAAAAAAGAGAGACACACAAGGGAAAAGGGATGGGGGAGAAGGGGAAAAATCAAACTCGGGGACCAATTCTTAAGCAGTTGTTCTTTGTAAGGACTGGCTTGTATTGTTCAGGGGGAGGAGGTGCCAGATGTTGCTGGTCTTTTGGACAGAATGGCTGCTGCCCCCAATGGATGAGGGAGAAGAGGTCTGGCTCCCAGCCATGGAATTCACCTTAGTATAGCAATAGGAAGGCTGTTCCATAGGCTATACAGAATAACCTGCTCTAAAACGCACTTGATCCTTGGAAATGACCTTATTAGCACTGCCCCAATACTGAACTTGGCTAGCATACAATTTTGTGATGATACTTACTGAACTAATAGGCCTTTAATCACAAGTTCAATTTCTGGCACCCTCCTTGAAGCTGGCAATAATAATACTGAACGTGCCGGCCAACTGGAATCTTGCTTGATGGGCTGATAGCATCAAAGGTCTGGCAGCCGTTGGAACCCACTGCTTCAGATTGGCTTGGAATAATTCAGAAGTAATCCAGTCTTGGGCAGAGAGGCAACTCACCTTCTCCTGGTCTCTGCTTCTGTCGCTGGAGATCGGGGGTGATCTCAACAGACGGTCCTGTGCTCCCCTCTTCCAAGCCCTCTCTTTGAAGGGGTGTCTGTTCCAAGTGCAGTTTAAAGATAAAGAGGAGGGGGCAAGGGCTTGAACTTGCTTGCTAAAAGGTTTCAGAATTGACTGCTGTGTTTCTGTGTAGGTTTTTTTTAATTGTTTTTCTGCATTGTATTGCACTCTTGCTTAATAATAAATAATAATAAAATAATAAAATGTTATTTATATCCCCCCTCCCCAGCCAAAGCTGGGCTCAGAGCGGCTAACAACAATAAAATGATACACATTCTAAAATCATTTCATTATAAAATGAATTCAAATCAGATTAATGGCAACCAATTGGGCTAGGGTTCTGTGAGGATTGCCAAAGGAGGGGGTCAAACTGTGCCTTGGCAAAAGGCCTGGTGGAACAGCTCTGTCTTGCAGGCCCTGCGGAAAGATGTCAAGTCCCGCAGGGCCCTGGTCTCTTGTGACAGAGCGTTCCACGAGATTGGGGCCACAGCCGAAAAAGCCCTGGCTCTGGTTGAGGCCAGCCTAACCTCTCTGTGGCCTGGGACCTCCAAGATGTTTTTGTTTGAAGACCGTGAGTTGTTTGAAGACTGTAATATTGTATTATAGCCTTTCCATTTAATTGTTTGTATATGTACATGTTTTATTTGTTGTTTTGTGAACCACCTGGAGTATCTTCAGTATTAAGTGGTATATAAATATATGAAATTAAACAATTAAATAAATAATGGAGGGGCAGGAGGGGAGAAAGGGCCTTTGAGGGAGCAGCAGATGTCTCCTCCACCTTGCCTGCTCTCCAGCAGCCACTACGAGCTGCCCCAGGGAGGAGGCCGGCAGCAGCATGGCAAGGCTGTGGGGTGCTCCCTTGTAGCGGCAACAGCAGCAGCAGCCACCACTGCCATCGCTCAGGACAAGAACCGGCTCCTCCTCCTCCCCGAGCTCAGTGGTGGCAACACTGGTGGGGGAAAGAGGGACATTCCTGGATCAAATCAGAAGCTGGGGTGGTTTTTGTAATCCCAGGACTGTCCCTGGAAAACAGAGGCACTCGGAGGATATGCAGTTGTAGCCAAGTGACTTCTACTCTGAGTAGACCCATTGAAATTAATTGACCTCAGTTTGTTGTTTAGTCGTTCAGTCGTGTCCGACTCTTCATGACCAATCCCACTCTGCCATCCCCTGCACTGTTCCAGGGGTTCTTAAACATGGCCCTAGCCCATTTGGGGGGCACATGGTGGGGAGGAGAGGACCAGAGAATCATATAATTGTAGAGTTGGAAGGGACCACGAGAATCATTTAGTCCAACCGCCTGCAATGCAGGAATCTTTTTGCCCTTCAGCACCAGGAAAGAGGTCCAAGGACTGAGCATGGACAGTCCACAGTTGCTCAGTAACTTAGGTCCCATCTCCTCAAATGTCCAGTTTGAGTAGGGTTGCCACTTGTCCCTAGAAAAACGGGATTGTCCCTTTTTTGGACAAAAGAGTCCCCTGTCCCAAAGAAACCAAGAATAAAATAAAAGTTACTAATTGATCCTAAAGAAAGAGGAGGCTTCTCCTTGCTTGATTTGAAGTTATATTATAAAGATTTACTAGATTTGGAAGGTCATGGTAACAGGTTTGGGTGGCACACATATTTATGGTATGATAAAAGGAAAGCACATAAAGGATTCCTGAACCACTTGGTAAGAAAATCAATCTACGAGGTATGAGATAGATATAAAAACTTACTAGAACGCAGAACACCATGGTGGCTCTCTCCCTTGGAAGCAATTTCAGTTAAAAAATTAAATATGAGAGGGAATTGGACCAGATTTGTTAATAGAGGCAGAAGACCAACTAAAATTGAGGAAATTTGAAGATGTAAGAGTGTTATTAACAGAGTGGTTACAGTATCACCAATTAAATGATGTTTTTAAGGTAGACAAAAAAATGGTTTTGATACAGTGAGATCGAGGTTTGAAATAGATCTGTTTGAAAATAATAGTGTTATAAAAAATGTAAAAATTACTTTTGGAACGGTATACAAAAGATGAAGAAGTTAAGGCAGTGATGATACATTGGGCTAGAGATTTTGGGTATAATATCCAACTTTCATCTTGGGAAAAGTTATGGAAAGAGGAAATAAAATTTGCTGCATGCTGTTTGTTGAAAGAAAACTATATGAAAATGATGTATCGCTGGTATCTAACACCGAGTAAAATTGCAAAAATGTACAAAACGAGTTCAAATCTGTGTTGGAAATGCAAAGGGAAGGGAGATACTTTTTATCATATGTGGTGGACATGTACACTGGTAAAGGCTTTCTGGGAAATGATATATAATGAATTAAAGAAAATATTTAAAAATACATTTGTTAATAAACCAGAAGCCTTTTGGTTAGGTATAATAGGTGAAGAGATACCAAGAGAGGACAAAAGACTTTTTATGTATGCTATGACGGTAACGAGAATGCTACCAGCCCAGAGATGGAAAGAAGGAGAAGTACCAACAAAAGAAGAATGGCAGACGAAACTGATGGAGTAGGCAGAGATGGCGAAACAGACGGGGAAGATCTGAAACCAGGAAGATCAAGTATTTTTAAAAGACTGGAGTAAATTCTTAATTTATTTAAAAGACCACTGTAAACAGTTAAAATCATTGGCAGGGATGTAATGACACTTGTAATATTAAGCGGTATAGAAATGAAATAAATGATAATAATAATAATGTGGAACTGACTGCGGTAACTAGGGATATATAATAGATGGATAATGGTAAAAGATGCAGAAAATGTAATCTTAAATATGGAATCCATGGAGGGAGGGAAGGAGGTCCGAAGGTTCAAAAGAACCTTTTATTTTAATGTTTGAAATGGTTAAAGTTAAAATGTATACAATTGTGTAAAACCAATAAAAATATTATTAATAAAAGAGTCCCCAGTCCCATTTGGATTTCAAACGAGAAGCCTGCCAGCCCCCCCCCCCCGTATTTAAACTCCTCCTCCTCCTCCAAACTGCATGGGCAGAGGGTGGCTGGGGGAGAGCGAGAGTTTGTGCAGGCAGGGCAGAGGGTGGGTCCAGTTCCTTGGTTGGTGTTATAAGAAAAAACTGTTCCTATATCCCTTATGGGGTATCCAAGAGCCCATATAGAGTCCTTATGCAAGTTCTCTATTAGTAGGAGAAAATAACAGAGGCCAACCAGAGAATATTGAGAAGCAAAGCAGCTAATAAGTCTGATCTTTATTGAACTGTTGCAACAGAATCCCCCCACTCCCCCCACACAGGGAGGGAGGAGAAGAACCTAGAACAATGGTGTGCAAGCTCTTATATAGACTTTTGAAATTGCCTCCCCTGTAGCTCAAGACCACCGCCCAAAACATCATATATACGTCACAGAAAGAGGGGGTCCCCAGCAGAAATAAATCACAGGGGGTGGTCTGCAGCAGAAAACCTGTCAATGGTCAATCATTGCTACATCTGGGCAGCCTGGTCATTCTTTGTTGTTGTTTAGTCGTTTAGTCATGTCCGACTCTTCGTGACCCCCTGGGCCAGAGCACGCCAGGCACTTCTGTCTTCCACTGCCTCCCGCAGTTTAGTCAAACTCATGCTGGTAGCTTCAAGAACACTATCCAAGCCATTCTTTAGTGATGGTAAATACTCAGTTCCTGAATCCAGGTCACAGGCTCACCCTTAAGACAGGATTTGTGAGCAATGGGGAGAACATTTGAGGTTACTGGAAGAGTCAAAATGGCTTCAGGATTGTTCTCCTGTACTATTTCAGACACATGGCTTATATACTTATGTATGTGTTTGCCATGTACATTTTTATGAACGTTTATTTAATATATATAAGACCTTAGAATTCCTATAACAGTTGATGTTGCCCACCACCTCTCTTCTCCTCACTCTCTGTCACTGTCCTTGCAACTGCTGTATTATCCTCCCCAACCCCAAGAGAAGCCCTTTCCTCCTTGACACCAGTGGGCATGAGAGGGTGGCAGCTGGCCCAAAATGGCGGCTGCATTACTGTAGGTGTGGCTGACAAGCGACAATAGAAAGAAGGGGGAAGGAGCAACCTCCTTTGCCTCCCTCGCCCTCTCCTTCCTCACCCCCCATTGGTGCATCTCTTCAGCCACCACTTGGACTCCTCCGCCACCCTGACCTGACCTTCCCTCCTCTTTGGTGCTGGAGTCTCTTCTGACACCAGCTTGGGAGAGAGGCTACAGCTGTGGCTCAAGCCCCCTGTGGGAGCCGTCCCATGTTGACTGCTGGCCCTGGTCCATCTATGTGACTTGAGGCCGGGGTGGTGAGGGAGGCAGCAGGCCAAATGCGAGGAACCCCCCTCCACAAAGGGGGGGTTGGTGTCATGAGAGTATGCGTGTGCCCCTCAATCCCCACCCTCTGACCTGTCCCATAAGTTTGAGTGCTCCTTGGCACACCCTGCCCAAGTCCACACACCAAAGGAGAGACACAACAAAGCCAAAGAAAAGACAGTTGGGATTTTGTAACTGCAGCATGTTTTATTCTTTCCTAGCAGGTTTTTTTTTTGGGGGGGGGAGCCATATAATACAACCAGTTTTATGGCACATACCCCCTCCCTGGAATATAATTGGATTACTGTTATTATAGTTCAAGCAAAACAGAAGAAGAAGAAGTCGATTTCACAGACCAAATGAGCCTCTGCACAGTTAAAGGGCACATCTACACTGCAGAGCCAAACTGCTTCAGAAGTCAGAACTTTGCTTCATGGGAGGCTGGGAACTGTAGCTACCAGCACTCTCATAAAACTACAGATCCCAGGATTCTTTGAGGGCAGAGGGAGGACCTTGATGATTAAACTGATATAGAACTATCAGATTTGCTGTGTGGTCTGACAGCTTGCATGGGGATATCTTTTTAACTGACTGTGACATAAATATACTCTCCAAGTTAGTTTCAAGGAGAAAAACACTTGTTGTATAAAAAAGAGGCTAGCAATGTTTTTCTAGCCCTTCTGTTGCAAAGAAAAATGTCCCTTGTTGTCCTGCCTGCTTGCCCTAAAACAACCATCTTGTGGCCAGAGAGCCAAACTCTCACCTAAACATCTTCAGCAACTATAGTTTCCAAGATTCTTCAGGATGAAGCCAAGACAGTTAAATGGTTTAGAAATAATATAAAATTGTAGTGTAGCCACTATATTTCTGAGGAATTCTGGGTCAGAAAAAGGCTGGCCTCCACTGCCAGTTAGGGACGGTTTCTATCTCACCCCAGTGATTTTGAACCTGGCATCAAACCTGGAGGAGTTTCAATAAAGAACCTTAACTTTTACACTGCTTTAGTGAGTCCCTGTTCCTGTCAGTTCCTGCCAGGCTTAGAGGGAGACCACGGATCCCCTCCTTCCCCAGGCTGGTACCCTCCAGATGTTTCAAACTGCAACTTCCACCTGCTGTGTTGGCAAAGGGGCAGCTGGGAGTTGAAGTCCAAGACGTCTGCACCATGTTGTGGAGGGCCAGTCTACATCAGGGTTTTTTTCTCCACATGTTCTGGTTCACTGGAGAAAAGCATATCTGAACATGGGCAAAGTTTTTTCCTGTCCTCAGTAAGCAAGCTTGCTCACAACTAACCCAGGAACATGGACACACACCTTGCTTTCCATGTGCAGCCTCAAGTTTATTTAAAGGACATTGCTCATGTATTAGGTAAAGGAAGTGGCAGCAAAACAGACTTTCTTCTTCTCACAAAGTAGACCCATGCCTATGCAGTTAAATAAAGTACATGTTTCAAAACTGGTTGAAAACACAAGCACTGTTTGCCCGCAAGTTCCTAGATCTAGGAGTCAGCAGACATCACCATATTAAGAGATCAGGCATTAGGATACATTCAGCTGATGTTGAAAGGTTGGAAGAACACACTTAGCTTAGACAAATATTCTAGAATGCTTGCTTTATGCTTGTAAATATCAGAGTGTGTCCAACTAACTTTTGCTCAGAGTGGACCCATTGAAATCAATCTACCTAAGTTAGCCATGACTGTGAATCTCAAAAAAATAACTCTATGGCTAGCATTAGATACGATCTTGTATGTCTTTCCTATGAATGTTATGAAAAAATCCTCTGGCTTGATCTGTGCATCCCAAACATTGCAGCATTTTTGCCAGGGCATGAGACTCAGTTAATAAATGGACTAGAAATGGACCAGGGTAGGGAGTGAGATAGCTGATATCCCAGCCCAAAGCTATCTCCATAAAAGTTAGCCCCAGGAAGTCTAGTGGAATTTTACCTGTGAAAAAGTTTGTGATATGTCTTAGTCACCTTCTGAAGGTTTAGTCTTTTAGTCTGAGGTCCAGATTTTTATTTTTATCTTTACAACAGTAACATATTGGCTAGCAATACACTTTCTTTTGCATTATGGATTTTCTGATCAGAGTGAAAACCCAAAATGTCCCATGTCAAATCAGTCTTCATTAAAGCCACAAGCCAAAATGGAAAAATGTTCTAAACTGTAGTAGTCCATGAAACTTTATGCCATAATAATAATATTTTTTAGCTTTTGAGGTGCCACAAGACACTTCACAGTTTTTACTGATTGATAACATAATATTAAGGAAAGCATGGCAGAAAGATCAATTACAACTAATTTATGAAACAGAACAAGAGCGCTCACACTGGTCAGGAATTCTGGGTGATTTTGAAAGAAATGTGAGCCAATGTAGAAGATGATTAAAAAGTGACTTCGCACTAATACAAGGAAATGCCATCTTTACTATTTTCTTTTTAATTCGTTGTTACAATCATTCACTCAAACCTAATGGCATTTTTAAACACACACACACACACACACACACACACACACACACAAACATACATACACACTTGTGCCATTTGGTTTTGGCCCAGGTGATGAATGAGTTAAAGCTTTAGACCTGCTTGCCAAAAACGTTGTGCCTCCAAATGTTTGGGGCTGCAACTGCCACTATCCTGACTGGTCATGCTGCCTGGGAATTATGGGACTTGTAGTCCAAAACACCTGGATGACCAAAGGTCAGGGAAGGCTGCTACAGACTGTAAATAGTGCAATACCACAGATGCCATTCTGATTTGAATGAACGGAATCTTGCCTGTGACAGCGTCCTGATATCTTGAATGGATTCCCACCCCCTGAAAAATATTACAAAGCTCAACTTACTAAGAATTTCAATTACATTATTTTCAGATTAATCATTATGGAGCCTTGGTCAGCAACTACGGTAGTTCCCCCCCCCCCAAAAAAGAGGACTGTTCTCAAGAAACAAGTGAGAGGTATCTAAGCTCCTAATAAGCAATAAAGACAGAATAGACCATCTGTGTTACTTGTAGCATTAAGGATGGGTAGTCGTATAGTCAGTTGCCTGATCTCCCCATTAAGTGCACCAGCAGCAGGGAGAAAACTGAATTTAGCTGTACAAATAATTATGCATCTAGCTGCCATTTGCCATTTAAATTCCTTGGTTGGAACATGCAACTGGGATTTGCATTTGCTTTGTTTTGGATGTTCACCTCTGCCTCAATCATGGATTTATTTAAATTGGGGATAGCCCACTTTTCTGTTCTTGAGGGCTGCTCTCCTCTCCAGACAATGAGCTTCCGGTTGCAAATGCATTTCACTACCCAAAGCCAGCCCCCTCGTGGGAGTGCAGGGTCCTCGGTAGAGCTGCAGCCACTCATCTGCAAGGGCTTCCCTGCTGGCTGGACTGATAGGAATTGTGGCCCCAGACGCCTGGGGAGTCCCAGCTTGGGGGGAAGGCTGGTAGAAGGCATATGCACTCCGGCACAGCATAACATTCAGTTGTGCACATTTACATATTACATGCATGAGAGAGATGTACCCTGAAACACGGGGGACTCTTTGTTTCTTACAAGATGGCAACTTTTTCTTTATCCTGATGAGGGAAACTGATTACATCCTCATGTGACTGACATTTGCTCAGGCCATCTGATGAAAAGGTGCCCTCTGAAGGCCAGATCCTGTTCATTCCTGATTTAAATATTAAGGCTAAAATGATAATACCGTTCTGAACGGTCTCCCTGTGTTAGAAAAAAAAAGGGACACTAAGCTACACATCACTGTCCTCAGCTGGATTATGCAGTGCCAGCACTCATTGACTCATCCTTTTAATGCAGTGCATTTTGCATCCAGAGAGTTTTAGGAATGAAGTATTTCTCACCCCCTTCTCCCCAGTAAATGTGCAATAAATGAGAATTGCTGATCATATACGGTAGTTCCAATAGGCAAATGAAGGCAGAGCTCTCAAAGCCAAAACCCTTCAAGCTCCATGTCTTAATACACATTCCAAACTCATAAGTTCTTTATATTAAATGGACTAATTTTCATGGAAATAAAAGGGCAGAACCAATCAGAACAATATCTCATCTTTCTCAGTTTCTATTATGGAAATGCTTGCTTTATTATTATTCAAAAGAAAGAGAGAAGATCAAACAAAGTTTCAATTGATGCAATTATATTGACAGGACATGATAGCAAGTTTTTGAGTGGGGCAAAACATTTCTTCAGGTGGGGAAAATGCAGACTAAACCATCCAGGGTGGGGTAGAGGAAGGCCGTTAAAGTTTTCTGCCTTGGCCGTTGGGATGACTGGGAGGCTCTCTCAAAATCTTGCTGTATTACCCAGACATTTCATACTAAGGATTTCAGCTGAACCAGTTTGGATCTTACCAGTTCTATTTTTTAAAGCTCTTCTTCAACCAGGATAATTCCATTTGCATGGAGATGGAGACTCACTTAGGGCATTGTTTTTCCAGGTTCCTACCTTCAAAAAATGCTTTTCAAGGGACACGTCTACCATGGATTCCCAGAGCACTGCAGACGTTTCTGGAACACAGGACATCAGCCCATTGGTTCATCCAGCTCTGTGCTGCCTATATTGACTGGCAGTGGTGGGTCTCCATGATGTGAGACAGGAGTCTCCTTCCAATCCAGCCTGGAGATTGAACCTGGGACCTTCTGCATGCAAAGCAGATGTTCTACCACCGAGCTTCGGTCCTTGTACCAGGGAACACATTTAGTTCATGTAGGACAATGACCAGGCCTGTCAAGCCCAAGTTGGTCCATCTGAATGGAGAATACAACCTAGGACACACCCAATGTTGTCCTGAAGTTCAGTCTAGCACAAAAAAATCAGGAGTGCTGGGGAAGCTTTCTTTCGGGAAATGTTTCTTTGCCATGATCAATCTTCTCTTTGAAGGACCATTTGTGACGATCTGCTTCTAAGTTGCCTAATGCTGATGAATGCAACTCTTAACAGAGTTGGATGATTTATTTAGGGGCCCTTGGATCTTCTTGAGAGGCTAAGCAGAATGTAAGTTGCTTAGTTATTTTCCCAGAACTCACAGTTTCCATCCGTTTTAGTGGAGTACAACCATATTCTCAAGGAAGTTTTCAAAGCTCCAAATGTTAAGATGGGTTAAGGGTCAAAGAGAATAACTGATGGGCAAGCTTGGATTCGAACTCAAGACACACTGTTCCCCAATCCTCTGGGTCATTCCCTCCCCACCTCAGTACATATTCTTTGTTTGAAATGGGATACCCCAGATAATTGCAGATGATCCCTGATACAAGTTTGGTATGAGATGGGTTGGGGGGTGGAGTAACCAGAGAATTGGAAATATGCAGACAGCGGAGATACTTCCAGCTTGGCTCAGCTGAGAAAGGGACTGGTTGCTGTTGGAAGGCACTGCATGGGATCTTGGCAGTCACGCGTGGGTACTGGTGCCAGCCCCGCTATGGAGCGAGGCCTTGGAGATCTCAGTGCTGACTGTGGAAAGGGGGAAGCTTTCATACTTGTCCTTCTCACTGCTGCAGCTGCAGCGATACAGCAATGCCTTGACTTCCTTTTGGAAATTGCTGTTGAGGAAACCATACATAATGGGGTTGATGCAAGTGGAAGCCATGGCCATAAGGTGGCAGAGGGAGAAGATGAAGTTGTGGTAGCACACTGAGATCTTCTCATGGTCCCAGTCATAGAGGGCATTGAAGACAGTGAGTGGAAACCAACAGGCGGCAAAAGCAACGACGATGCAAGCCAACATAATGTTGACCTTCCTGTGGCTAGTAGCCCGGGAGCCATCCTTGGAGCGCTCCACCATGTCCTTGCGACGCTGAAGGCGCAGGAAGATGCGGAAATAGCAGGCCATGATGAGGAGCAGGGGCAGGCAGTACTGGAAAAGCAAGAGGAAGGTGGTGTAAGCTAGGCGATGCTGATCCGATGGCCAGTGCTCAATGCAGGCCACGTGGTTGGCAAACGGGTCAAAGGGAAGGCTTAAGTTCTGAAAGGGCTCATTGGTCAGGATGGTGAAGGAGAGGAAGGGCAGGGAAATGAAGCAGGCCACCACCCAGGTAATGGCCACAGCCAGGTACGCATGGTTAGCTCCTGGCTTCCGCCCAGTCGGATTGATGATGAGCTGATGCCTTTCCAGGGCAATCCATACGAGGGAGAGGATGGAGACAGTGACGGAGATGCACTGGACAAAGGGGCTGGCCTTGCAGAGCACTTCTCCTAAGATCCAGCGGTCCATCAAGGTGTAAATGACCGTGACAGGCATGCAAACAAGTGACATGAGGATGTCAGAGCAGGAGAGGTTGGCGATGAAGATGTTGGTGACGTTTCTCATCTCCTTCTGCTGGATGATGACACACACCAAGCAGAGGTTGCCAATCAACCCCACTGCAATGACTGCGCTGTAAGCTACGATCAGGAAAGTACCGTTCCCCACAGAGTCGCTGCAGGACATGTCCTTTTCCTCTAGCAGGCTCAGCTGCTCTGAGAAGTTGAGGTAGAGGAGATTCATCAGTTGGTCCATGGCACGTCCCAACTCTACCTTAGAGATGGAAGGATGGAGAGCTCTCTAGTGCAGGTGGCAAAAAAGGCTGCGGCAGCGGCAGCAGCAGCTCTCTCTCCTCATGAGATGCTGCGCTCACTTGCCCTGTGCCAAGGAAGAAAACATCCAGTCATTAGGAGGCACTTACTTATTGACTACATTTATATATTGCCTTTCTTCCATGGAGCTCAAGGTGGCATATAGAAGTGCCCAGGGGGCTCCTAGGCATTCTCTGCTGCTTTCCCCAGCCACTCTGAGTGGCTTACAACATATCTAAAAACATCCTTAAAAACTTCGCTAAACAGAACTGCCTTCAGATGTCTTCTAAAAGTCAGATAGTTGTTTATTTCCTTGACATCTGAAGGGAGGGTGGGCGCCACTACTGAGAAGGCCCTCTGCCTGGTTCCCTGTAGCTTCACTTCTCGCAGTGAGGGAACCAGCAGAAGACCCTTGGAGGAGGACCTAAGTGTCTGACTGTCCGGGCTGAGTGATGGGAGTGGAGACGCTCCTTCAGGTATACAGGGCCGAGGCTGTTTAGGGCTTTAAAGATCAGCGCCAACACTTTGAATTGTACTTGCAAACATACTGGGAGCCAGAAGATCCTTTAGGACCAGTTTTTCAGTATATGGTCTGGGAGGTCACTCCCAGACCCAAGTCTTGTTAGCTTCACCAAGTGGTTGGCTGTATCAGGAGTCTTCAGAGCATGTCCTACTGCAGCCTTCCCCAATCTGGCACCTTCCATATGTTCCCATTAATCCCAGCCAACTGATGGGAATTGTAGTCCAAAACATCTGGAGGGTGCTAGTCTGGATCAGCTGCCCAAGGACTACTCATCTTCTGCCCCACATAGTTTAGTCTTACGGCCCATCCATACCTTGGCTTAATGCCCATTGGGAACCCCTTGTGCCCCCTTTAATTCCTCCTCATCCTGGTGACATTCTCCTCCAACTACCACCCCAAATTTTCTCCTCCCTAAATCAGATGTTCCCTATGCAACGGATGTTAAACCACAGAGCCTAGGACTTGCCGATCAGAAGGTCGGCGGTTCGAATCCCCGCGACGGGGTGAGCTCCCGTTGCTTGGTCCCTGCTCCTGCCAACCTAGCAGTTCGTAAGCACATCAAAGTGCAAGTAGATAAATAGGTACCGCTCCGGCGGGAAGGTAAATGGCGTTTCCATGTGCTGCTCTGGTTCACCAGAAGCAGCTTAGTCATGCTGGCCACATGACCCGGAAGCTGTACATCGGCTCCCTCGGCCAATAAAGCGAGATGAGCGCCGCAACCCCAGAGTTGGTCACGACTGGACATAATGGTCAGGGGTCCCTTTACCTTTAAGGAATCTCCAGATCTAGGGAGAAGAAAATGTGAGGCTGCAGTAAATGGAGGAGAACACCAAGTGGGCTAAGGAGCCACAGGAAGCATGGGGGGATCGCAAGACACACTAAGCTGAGATGTGGATGGGCCACACTCTGCAGTGACCCCGCCTTAACCTAGAAGCTTCTACTGGGTAAGAACACGCTCACTGAAAGTATTAAAAATGTGTTCTTTGTCTTGAGACAGCCCTCTCCTGTGGTTGCCATTTACTGGTGAAGACAGACATGAGATCTTAAGAGTGAGCTGTAAAGCAGAGTTCCTATTCATTGCAATAGAGGCAGGGGAAATGAGAACTCCCCCTCCGTCCTTTATCTGCATGGCCTGGTACTCTCTACATTTTTCCAGACAACCCCACCCTGTTGTTCAGGAAAGTCACGGCCATCACTTATTGTCTTTTCCTGCCCTCTGTTCCCATCTAGCCCATCAGCTATGATAATGCAGCCTTGCAAATGAAGTCCACAGAAGTTACAAGCCTGCAAAAAATTTTTTCACAAGTCCCTGTCTAGTCATAGTTATTTGTAGCGTGTCTAAGGCCTGCAAAAAGGAAAATGAAATTGAGAGGGAGGAGACAGACTCTTCCAACCTAGAAAAGCATTCTTGCCAGAGGCAACTTTTACTTGCCACAGGCAAGCAGCTATTTTCAAGCCTACATAGTAACTGCTGAGTATCAGTATCGGTATCAAAGTTTATTTCAGTCACAGAGCAGCATAAGATAAAACATATGGATAAACTGAACACATAAGACTTAAAACAGGCGAGGAGTAACTGCTGAGTAGGACATGGCCAGGCAACTATCACAAGCACCTGTCGGCCAGTGTCAGAGCAGGAAGGCAACTTCCACCATTTATATCTGCAACATCCTCTGAAATGTTTTTTAAAAAAATTATTTCCTACTTCTTTCAATGTAGAGATCTTGCCTACAATACTGTTTCCAATGCAGGACACCCAGGTAGTCTCTTAAACGGTAAAATGGGAGGAAATGCAAGCAAGTCTGCTTCTGCTGGTGCCCACATCAACATCCCATTTCATGGACAGTTTGCTTTATTTGTAAAATGTTTGTCAACTGGAGCTTGTGTGCTTAGGTCCTCCCCTTCAGCGCTGCAATGCACAACCTGCCCTCTTTCAGAAAAAGCTGCACAGGGCTGCCCCCCAGCCCCCCTCATCCTTTCCTTTCGATTCCAAGACCAGCATTTGATGGTAGGAAGGGATAGAGGAATGAAGGCAGACTACCCTTCCCCTCTTGGAACTTGGTCTGCAGGCTAGCCTTGGAATGCCAGCGCTAGCTGGGGAGCAGGTACCCCCCATGTCTCCCACCCGCCCCCAGCCCAGCAGGCCAGCCGCCGACCACTGCCCAGACAGATGCGCACGCGGCCGAGCGGTAGATTGCTGCAGCTTTTGACGGGAGACGCGGATATCTGTTATAGCTGTGGTTGTCATCCCTCCACTCTGCCCCAGCTTTGGAGAATTAGCTCTGAGGCTGGTAGAGGCTGGCAAGCCCAGCAGCAAATGCAGCTTGGGACTATTACACAAGTTCTAGTGCTGTTGCTGCTACAGGGTCAGGGGAGTGAGGACGGTACTCCTGGGGCACCCAGCCCAAAGTCCAGCCCCCAGGTCTATGAAGAATACACAAGCAAGCGCGCGTACACACACACACACACACACACACGCACGCCCCTCACTCACCTGATGCTGAACTAGTTCTCGCGTCAGCTCAGCCTCTTCTTAAACCCGGGCAGATCTGCTCCGAAATATGGTGCAACACCCTCCCGGTACACGTGAATGCGTCTCCCAGCTCTGGGGTCCTCCTCTTCTTTTCCCTCCCCCAAATGATGGGCTCCAGGGTTTTTTGGGAGGGGGAAGCAAGGAGACACCCAGCGAAAAGGCTGCCTTAAGAAGAACTAGGGAAGCCCCCCCGCCCCCCCGACCCATATAAAAAACTCCACCCCTGGGAGGAGCGTGGCTTAGCCCCACCCGGGACCCTGGCTTCCAGGCGGAGAGGGGATGCTTCTTCCACGTGGGTACCACTCCTCTCCCCCGCCCAGCCGCGCGCTCCAGTCTCTCCACGTGAAGGGGGGGGGGAGGCTGCTGTTGCTGCTGCATGCGGGGGCGGAGGTGCCCCAGATCCAGCTCTGGCAAAGGTCCAGCTCCCTGGCAGGCTGGCAGGCAGGCGAGCGAGCGGGGGTTTTACTCAGGCGAGCGTTGATGGGCGGAAGGTAGGGAGGTCAGGCGCTCCTGGGAGATCTCTGGGCGCTGGGAAGTAGATGGGCGAGGGTTCCTGGCTCTCAAAACGGTTTTGCAACTGGCGACAACACCGCTAAAATAAAGAAAGCTAAGGTGGGGTGAGCAAGAGTGGATTTTTGTGCAGAAAGACTGCGAGCTCTGCTCATCTCTGGGATTCCAAACAAACCCCTTCTGCGCCAGGTTTCGGTGGGTGGTTTCTAGTAGGAAGGCAGTGAGTCGATCCTGCAAGCCAGAGGTCTTCCCTCTCCTGACAGCCAGGTAGTGGACAGCCATGCCAACTGGTTAGGAGGAAGGAAGGGGCTTGGCTTTAAATCACCCATCCATGCCTGCAGAGAAAATCAAGGTATGGCTGGGCAAGGCAAACTAGCAAGCACCTGCACTGTTTATGGTGAAGGACAGTCTTCTCCAACCTGGTGCCCTCCAGATGTTTGGCTACAACTCCCATCAACCCCAGCCAGAACAGCTGTAGGATTCCAGGGCTGATCATACTGGCTGGAGCTCAAGGGACTTGGGATTAAAATCTATTAAATAATAACTCACATGACCACAAAGAAGGCATGAAGGCAGAAGACCCTCCCTGTTCTTTTATCCCAGCACTGCACAGAATATCAGAACAGGTATTAGGGACCTGAGTTCAAATCCTGATGTGGCTCATCTCAAGATGGAGACACAGCATAAGAACACAAGAAGAGCCTGCTGAATCAGGCCAGTGGCCCCGTTTCCTTCTCTCATAACGGCCAACCAGGTGCCTCTAGGAAGCCTGCAAGCAGGATTGGAGCACAAGAGCCCTTGCCCTCCTGTGGCTTCCAGCACCTGGGATTCGGAAGCATTACTGTGGAGGCAGAGCAGAGCCACTGACAGCCCTGCGTCTTCCATGAATTTGTCCAATCCTAAAGCCATCCAAGCTGATGGGCACTGCTGCCTCCTGTGGGAGCAAGTGCATGAGGAAGTCCTTTCCTTCACTGTCCTGAATCTTTCAGCATTCAGCTTCATTAAATGTCTGCAAGTCGTGGTGTTATGAGAGAGGGAGAAAAACTTTTTTCTATCCACTCTTTCTATGCCCTGCATAAACCTCTAGTGTGTTCCTTCTTACTTGCCTATTCTCTAAACTAGAGTTCTAAATGCTGTAAAAGAATTGAAAGGGAGTTTGAAAGAGGTTTGACTTCCTAGGAGAACCTTCCCAATCCCTGAATGCTGTACATTTATTGGATTGCAACTTGTAGCCCAAAATATCTAGAGGACACTAGAATGGGGGAGGCTGAGACAGACAAGAATTTGCTTCAGAGAGCTTTGAAAGAGGGAGTGAAACTATGATGCCTGCGTTCCATCCCACTACTGCCTCTGGTAAACAGGTTTTGCAGGGGTGGGTTGAACGGTTTCAAAAACCTGCAGAACCTCTTGTACCAAACGGCAGCAATAGAAGCACATCTGCACAGGCTCTCCAGCCCCTTCCTCTCTCTTAGGAGCTGCTTTCTCCTTTCTGTCTAAAGACACTTTGTGGCAGAAACCGGGAACTTTCTGATTCATCACCATTAAGGTTGCTCTTAGTGCAGCTTCAGACATCACAATGCAAAAAACTGTTAGCTTGCCCATTGCTATGGCACTTTGACTGTTCCAATCTCTTTGATGGGTATGCTTGGATGACGATTGCGTTTCCAAGCACCTGTTTGTTGTGTTCACACTTCTACTGCACATTTCAGAAGAATGTACAGTAGTTGAATATGGTGCGTGTAGCTGCAGTTCCACAGGAGGCCTCTGGGCGGCCTCACCTTCCACCTTCACTTCCTGATGGCACAACAACAGCCAGTTTCCTGGGAAGCTAATGAGATACTTTGGCGCCAGTGATGCCAATGTTGCCGCTGGGATTCATCAGCACAAATGCTCCTGCTTATCTGGAGGGTCAATCTATATTGATATTCACCTCAGCAAAAGACAGGGCCTGGTGTTGATTTAATTTTCTGAAGCAGTAAGTGCTTTTGCTAGGAGAGAGAAAAGCAGCCTTGTGTTCCAGGAGCACGTTTTTCAGGGCTTCCTACTCTTATCCATGCACCAACCCATCTTCCTTCCTGCCTGCTTGCAGTAATCAGTTGAGTGCATGTATGAATCAGCAAAGTTGAGTTAGGAACAATTTACACCTTGCAAACTTGCAAAATTAATTTAAATCAACACTCATCATAGTTTTGAACACCAATCTATGAGACTTCCAGGGGTGCCTGCACTTTCTCAGGATTTAGTTTTCATGGAATAAAGGCTAGTGGAGACTCTGGTGTCTTTCAGATCTATGGTTTTATTTCTGCAGGTCTACAGCCTGAGCTTCCCATTAGGCTTCCAGGGAAGGGCTCAGTGGCCGCAGGCTGGGTTCCTAGGATGATGTGGCCTCCAGCCTGGAAGCTGGAGGCACAGCGGCATGTCTTTTGGGGGGCGCGGATTTGATATCCTGCTTTATCACTACCCGAAGGAGTCTCAAAGCGGCTCACATTCTCCTTTCCCTTCCTCCCCCACAACAAACACTCTGTGAGGTGAGTGGGGCTGAGAGACTTCAGAGAAGTGTGACTGGCCCAAGGTCACCCAGCAGCTGCAGGTGGAGGAGCGGAGTCGCAAACGCGGTCCCCCAGATTACGAGTCCACTGCTCTTAACCACTACAGCACACTGGCTCTTGCTCCAGTGTCAGCCAAACTTAAGCACATAACTTACGCATCTGCAGTTTGCCTTGGCCTCATGTTCTCCATCCCAGTATGATGTGGCCTCCAGCCAGGTAATGTAGGAAAAGGCCACTTATTTGTCTCTGTGGCAACAATACGCAGGTGGTGGGTACCTAGTTGAGTGGCTAAGGTCATGAACTTGACAGAGAAACTGATCAGACAGGTCTCCTGCTATAGAGTCCACCCTCACAGATACAGGATCCTCCGTTGCAAGGGACCCACAGTATCCTCCGGAACTCCAACGTACCTTAGCCCTGAAACGCAGAGCATAATGATAAAGAGGCAGATGCGTCTGGGACTGCGCGAAGTTCTTGTCCCTAGCCATCTGGGATGAGGGGCAGGGGTTTTGGTTCAGGTAGAGGATTGGGACTTCATGGCACATTGAACAATTGGTCCCTCTTTGTTATGATCTGTTGTTGTTTGTTGTTGTTGTTTAAAAAACCAGTTTTCCTATCCCTGGTGCCCTCTAGTTGTTTTGACCTACATCTCCCATGCTGGCTGAGGCTGATGGGAGTTGTAGCCCAAACATCAGAAAGACACTAGGATGGGAAAGGCTCTTTCCAACATTCGCTGCCAGGCTTTGCGTTCTGCTGGTGTCTGTGCTAAACTGCGTAGCCACCTGAAGCCAATCAGGGCTCTGGACAGTGTAGGCCAGCATGGCCAGAAAACTCCAGGAACCGCTTGCTGGAAAGTCAAAGCCTCAGAAGCATGAGGTTGATATCTCTGCTCAAGAAAGTGGAAGCAAAGGAGTTGCCAGGTCTTGGGGCTTGACCTGGAATGCCAGGGTTTTAGCTTCCAGGAGAAGTAAAGTCCAAGAGAAGGGACCCTGTGTCTTGGAGGCGGAGGGCTATTTTCTGCTTGGCTTAAGAGGTTTTGCCATTTTCTCCATCCCTCATCCTTCACCATGAGACACCTGGTCAACCAGGCTCTTCCCTGGCCACCGTGTCCAGGTCTCATCCATGGAGATGAGCTCACCACACTGAAAGCATGGCTCGTGGTTGACATGAGTGAGGCCTCCATCCACAGGGAACCACTAATCGTCACTCCCCACGCCCAGGGTTCCAGTGATCGACTTTGAGTCTAGAGGGTAGGGCAGTCCATAAGGTATTCTGGGCCTAAGTTATTCAGGGTTTTGTACACAAGTGCAAGAACACTAGACTTGGCCCAGCAGCAGACAGGCAGCCAGTGCAGTTGAAAGACGGCCATGTGAGCCTCAGACTGAGAAAACTGGCTTTGCCTAAGCACTGAAGCTCTCAGGGGCCAGGGAGTGTGTGTGTGGGGGGGGAATAAATGGGGATGGAAGCTCCAGGCACCTGACTGGCATGGAGCCAGTGATGTCAACGGAACTTCCTGCCATTCTGTGAACTAGGGGAAGCCCGGCAGGTGAAGGATGCAGCTTGTCCAGGAAATGCCTTCCCTGCTATAGACCTGAGGGATTTCTGCAGTGGTGGTGGTGGTGGTGGGGTTTGGCGGCATTCAAGGGACCCCCTGGAATGTGGGAGAAAGAGCAAGCAGAATGTTGATAGGAAGCCAAAAGAAGTTGTCATTTATTTATTTTGTTAAAAAAGGAGGAAGTGGCCTCTGCTAGTTTGGGAAGGGAAAGCAGAGGGTTGAAGCACAAGCGAGAATTTGATGCTACTCTAAGAAATTCCTCATTAACATCTATAGCATAAAGGCTGCTAGGCTTAATTAATAGATGCAGCAAATAAAGCTTTGGCTTATCAATAAAATGTGACCAACCTTGAGGGAAGGCAAATTTTAATAAACTGGACTGAGAGTGGCAAGAGAGTCCTCTGAGGGGCGTGGTGCCTGCTTCTCTCCGGCCTCCTTTTACTCCCCCACCAACCTGGGCAGAGTGGGGGCTGGGGGATATAAAGGAGGCAATGGCAGCAGTGGAGGGGAGGTTGCGGAGGAGGAGGAGGGAGGTGGCTTTTCTGTTTAGCCTCAAGTGGCAAA